TGTGTTGCTCTGGGTACACGGTGAGCGCGTCTCATTTTCTCAAGATACCCAGAAAAAGATAAATTTGATGTCATTGTTTTAAAAATACTCTGATGTTTAGAAAGACCAGTCTGGGATGTCTTGTGATCTATAGTGACCAAGTATTTGAGGTGAGCTTCTGGCATCTGACACAGAAGTTTAAAAGCTGTTCCTACGCTGGCTGCTAACAGAGATCAAATCATCTCTTTAAAATTGCCTGTGTGTGTTGCTAAATGCAGGGGATCCTTGTGGGCCCTGGAAAATGACTGTGACTGTGAAGACTCCCCAGAGAAAGTACTCGAGGAGCTGCCACAGGGAGCCTGAGCCTGGAGCTCGCCCAGGACCATCCCACCAACCCTCGGGTCCAGACTCCCCGCCCTACTCACGTTAACCCGGGACGGGCAAAAGAAAACCTTACGATGCCTCCTAGGAGGTGAGCATCCCCTGAGCTGCCTGACCCGGGCTGCAGCAGCAAAGACCGTGCCCCATGCCTCCCCCTGCGACCCCAGCACAGCCCTCCGGTAACGTGTCAGGAAAGAGAATCAGCAGCATTGTAAGCAATGGCGCATCCTGACTCGTGGGGTTTGTTCTAAGAACCGAATGGTGAGGTGGTGCTGACGAAAACTCAGTAAGGGAAATTTGCCCATATAATCCATTAATAGCCATTCATTTTTAGAACATTCCCCAAAATATGAATTGCAACATCCTTAATTATCTATTTGTCTATCTGTTAGGGGGAAAAGGCTGTCCTAAAGCTAATTCCATACAGGCTTTGTGGACTCCACCCCCACCCCAGGCCAAAGCCAAAGACACTGGGAACTCCACATCCCATCCCCACCCAAGGGAAGATGGCTGGGAACTGAGGGTGGGGTTCAGCAGCCAGGTTGATATAAAAGGCAGACACGTGGGCTTTGGGGGGTCCCCCATTTGGGCTCTCCGCCAGCTCGCAGCGTCTGGCCAGCTCTGAGAGTGCCTTTGGGTTTCCAGGTCGGCGGATCAGGTAGGACGCATTAAAGACTTTATTTCCCTATTTTCTCCCTGAGTGGTACATTTTCCTTATTTCCTTTTCCCTTGTAAATAAACCTTTTATTAACCCTTTTGCGTGTGCCTGCAGTGGAGTATTCATAAGTCCCTTTTAAGCGCGCGGGTGAGGACCCACAGCCAGTAACCCGTTCAATATCGGGGCTGCTCTATAACATATACATCTTGCACCAGAGACAGCAGCTGCCTTAGCTGGACACGCTCTCACTCCCAGACTGCTTTTTTGGGGGGCAGACCCCTGGTCAGCGCGGGGAGAAGTAACAAGGACAGGGACAGGAGGGGACAAAACACAGGGTGGCGGTGACTCACCCAAGGGAGCTTTGCAGGGTGTGCTGCAGGAGGCCTTGATGCCCCAGCCAGATAAGATACTGGCAAGCAGCGAAGCCCAAAGGGCCTCACACCGTGGGGCCGAAGCTAAAGGGCCTCACACTGTGGGGCTGAAGATTCCTTGTGCCTCACACCGTGAGGTTGAAGATCTAACATTCCTTCACTTTTTGTTCTTGGTCATAAATAAGAAAAAAATTTCCCAAAAAAGTACATTAGGCACTATATTATTTGCATCAGTATATTGCAAATAAACGGCATGGAAAATTAGAAACTAATTATTAAATGATTTGGCCTACTTGACAATGGAAGACAACTTATTGAGCATGCCTGACAAGCATTACAATACAATAATCATAGCAGGTCCTTCTATTTTATTTTCTCTTGAAGTTTCTTGGGAAAGTTTTTAATATGAAGCTATTTGAGTTAAGGAATTTCTAGGTAGAAAAAGTTCTGATAGCTGAGCAGCAGCTGGTCTCCGGCTGAAGGCCATGTGAATAGAATAGTCCTTTGATGCTTAGGCTTTAGCTGATAGGGATGCACTGGCGGTTATTCACTGTTTTAAATAATTGTCTAAATGAAAAAATAAGTAGTTTTAACGTTAGGTCTGGTTTATTATCTATTAACCTTGAAAGCTGCTGTCTAGCTGAGACCTGTAGGAGCCAGTAGTCTATGGAAAACATAATACACTAATTGTTTTTGCTTTACACATGATAATGTATTTTGTTATTATTATTACTAATAATGAATAAATAAAGACCTGCTGAGTCTTTCAGCAGAAGATACTAGCACCTCACCAAGTGTCGGTGTCTCCTCATTCCCTTCCCCTCAGCCCTTTCGTTTTCGCCGACGCCGTCTCATCCTTTCAGGAACCCCTGACATGACATTTTGCCGGAGGCTGGTCCTCGGCAGGTGCTGGGGGACTGGGCAGGGGACTGGGCAGGAAACTGCACCCCCAGCCACACAGGCCCCAGGGGGGGCACCCCTGCAGGGGTGGGGCCCAGCGGGAAGGCCTAGCTGGCCGGGAGGGCAGGCCCTGTGCCCCTCACACTCCTTGGAGCCAGCAGGAGGGTCCAGATTTCACCCCCAGAAGCAATGGCCCACGATGCCACAAGAGAAGGCCCACGCCCCCCAAGCCTAGCATGGTGGACTTTCCTAAATTTACCCCAAAACACAGACACAAACCGAGCCCAAGGGACTTGGGGTTTGCGGCTCTGAACTTGAGGCACTGGGCTGCACCCTGCTTTCCTGACAGCAGGCAATAGCTGGAGAGAAGGGGACCCGAGACCCCAGAGGAGGAGAGACAAGCACCACCCCACCGTCAGGATGCAGATTTCATTAATAAAAAAGACAAAAAGCCCCATTTAAAAATAGACAAAAAGGGCCTCCCTGGTGGCACAGGCAGTTGAGCTCTTCGCTGTGAAGCTGTCCGCAGCCTCTGCAGCAACGGTTCGATCCTGGCCAACTACCGAGGGTCCCATATGGTGCGGCAGACCTCTTCTGTCATGCCCGCTGCTCCTCTCAGCAGTGTATTTCGTCAGTCTGCCTGTTCTGTTCCCCGCTCTGTCTCTGGTGAATCCTCTCCCCTACCGCACATCTGTCCTGTACCCCAGTTCTTGTGTAAATGAATAAATAAATCTTTAAAAATATATAATAAAAATAAAAATAGACAAAAATATGAATAAACATTTTGACATATTACAAGACGAGTCTGGCCTGCATGCGGGTCGCCACACAGCCTGGAGGCCTTGCCACAGCCCACAGCCGCCTCCTCAGGCCTTTCGAATCCCTCCCTGCTCGGTGCCAGCCCGGGCAGCCATGCATGGCCAGTGTCCCCTGGTGGGAGCGTGTGTGATGCATCCATTCAGGGCCGACACAGCAGACCTGGTGGAGCAGAAGATGGTGATGTCGGCACTAGGGTGATGACGTCACACCCACCACCCACGTGGGCAACTTGGAGACTTGTTGACTCCCAATCCCAGAGAAGGCACCGCAATTTTAAAAAGGCTTAGATGATGAAGATGCCTTTCACAAGAGGGAGGAAGAACTCCAGAGCCATTGCTCAGGGTCCAGGCTCCACGTTGTGGGTAAACAGGGCCGAGGGCTGCTCTCAGGCGCAGGGAGGCGCTGACCTGTGACCAGCCCCACGAGCTCGCGCTGTTCTGGGCTCTGCACAGCGCTGGGGGAGAGACGGCGCCTCCAGAGCCTCCTGTGCCGGCTCAGGACCCCACAGTGTCTGCAGCCCCTGCGGAGCCTCTTGCCACCAGAAGCCGTGGGTGCAGTGGGTGCTCAGCGTGTTCAGGGGGGCAGAGGACCAGGAGCAAACCCCACCAGCTCGACTCTGTGTCGCCTGCAGTTGTTATGAAGGGCACACCTCCCCGGCCCCTCAAGCTGGGGAGTTTATTATCTCAGCGGGAGGAAACTGTTACCTGCGCACACCGGCCGGAGAATGAGGGTGACCCTGCCAGGGGCTCCCGTTGTCAGGAGGGGTTGTCCGCACAGCAACACCAGAGACTGAAACAGCACAGGGCCTCCCTGGTGGCGCAGGGCTTAGGGCTCAGCTCTATCAAGCTGTCTCGATATTGCCACTGCCGCCTGAGTTCGGGCCCAGCCAGGGAGCTACCCACAGGGCACAGCAGACCTCGCCTGTCTCCCCGCTGCTCCCCTCAGCAGTGGATTTCAGTGGATCTGCCTGTTCTGCTCCCCACTCTGTCTCTGGTGAGTTCTCTTACCCCCCACACCTCTGGCCCGCCCCCCAGTTCTTGATTGCATAAATAAATAAAAAAAATTTAAAAACTTAAGAAAAAACCTGCAGTGAAGATCAGGGAAGATCTGAAGGAGAAAGAGAAAGAGGTAAAGTGGGGACCATCTGCCAGAGAGGTGGTTCTGTCACGGCGGGGCACTGCGTGCAGGATGGCGCCTGAGAAAGAAGAGAGAGAACAACCCGAGGCGGCATCATCTGAGGTCCGCCCCGCCACGAGCTTCCAGCCAGAGAGCCTCGTGCTTCACTAAGGAAGCCCAGGTACCCCCCGCGCCCCACTGTCCACAAGCCTGTCGTGCCCTTTACGTTCATGTAAGAACTTGTGCTCGTACCTGTTTGGGGGCAACCGAAGGAGAATCAAAGGGGATTTTCTCCCTGTGGTGAGAAGTGGAAACAGGGTTGAGTCTCTTCCCTGGAGGCCACTTCAGCTACGGGAGCCTTCACAGGGTGCTCGGCCTCAGGTATCGGGGGGGGCCATGCCCAGGGCCTGCATGGGACAGCGCAGGTCGTCAGCGGTGCCAACACTTAGTGTCCTGGGGTTTATTTCAATTTTCCTAATAGCGTCTTCGCCAGTTGTGCTGCTGGTTAAGTTTGTTGGCGCGTGAGGGGGCAGGAGGGGTGGGGTGTGGGCTCTGAGCGGGAAGAGCAGGAAGATGTTGATTCTGGTTCATGGAGACACAACAAACCAGCCCCAGTGGTTTAAAAGAACAACCATTTATTTTTCTCATGAATGGGGGTGGGTGGGGGAGGGGCTCACCGCTGCTCTCAGGCACATGGGAGGTCCCGGGCAGTGGGGGCGTCCAAGTCCATGTCGCCTCGCCTGCTCTACAGATGGAGGGTCAGCCCCAGTGGGCCAGAGACTTGGAGTCCTCTCGGGGGCTTTCAGGGGCCAAGTCCAAGGGCGAGCACCCAAGGGAGCAGGGGGCAGGTTCTGTCTCCACCTGAGAAGTCCCTGGGGCTGCGTCAGCCACCTGCTGTTCACCCACGTCAGGGAGGGACACAGACCCCACTGCTCAACGGCAGGAAACAAGGTCAGGGTGCAGGGACAAGGAAGACAGGAGACACTGCCACGGCCTCACGTGGGGACGCACGTACCCCATTAGCGTCACCGCAGACTGGGAAGGAAGCTGAGGCTGACATCACTTCTCAAACATGTGCCGTATTCCTGACAGCATCTTCTTGATCATATTCACAATGTCGTCAAACACACCGCGCCTGGCTTCTTCCTCTACGTTTTTCATTCGGTCTTCATATCGCCTCCGCAGCTCTGAGATTTTTCTTTCCCTTTCTTCCGGGGATTTATCAGCATCTTCCTCTTCTACCAGTTTCATTTCATTATTTAATTGATCTGTGCAGATTTTCTTCAAGTTCTCTTTTTTTTCATTAATATTTTTCTCTATGTCCTCGTAGATGTTGTCAGAGAAGCAGGCCCCTCCGTTGCTCTGCACCATCTTCTCTATCAGCCCCACCAGCTCCTGCACCTGAGCCTCCTTCTCGGCCTCCTCAGCCCTGTTGTTGAAGGCGCAGCAGCGGCCCCCACACTCCTCGACCATGCTTCTGAGATTCACATGTGCCTGTGCTATAAACTCACTTATGTTACCATTTCCCAAATCTTCCTTGCGTGTGAACAAGATGATCATGTTCTTCATGACTGACTTTCCAAAGAGGTTCTTGATCAGCGCGATGTTTTTCAGCTCCTCCTCCGTGTAGTGGTCCAACTGCATCAACATGACGACGGTGTGGGGCCCCGGGGCCAAGGACAGGACGCACTGCTGATCTCCCTGCAGGTGGTGTCCAGGCTCTCCTTGGTGTCAAAGAGCCCTGGGGTGTCAACCACTAGAAGCCTCCTCCCCCGCCATTCCCGGGATGCTCCCTGGCAATGCTGGGTAACAGCAGCCGCTGCAAGTTTAGAAGCAAATATTTCTTTTCAAATGAGGGGTGTTTCCCTTGGCACTTTTCCCACTGCCGGTTTTCCCCACGAGCAGGATCCTCAGAGCGTTGTCCTCACTGTCTGCTGTGTTCACACAGGAGGGTCTGGAGGGCCGGCAGGTTCAGGTTTTAAGGACAAGAAGAGGCAAAGGGTCAGTGTGAGTCCTGGAACCACCCTCCGCCCCCGCCTGCTTTTCTCTCTTGTCCCCCTGAAAGTGTCATCTGTGTCCTGCTGCTCCCCGGAGACTCTGAAAGATGCAACAGTCCACCTACTGCGCAGGGAACAGGCTGCAGAGTTTTCCCACAAAGAAAGACAGTTACTTTCAAGGGGACTCATTTCATCCTTGAAAGATCTGACCCTCTCAGTACTATGTCACCTATTCATGATCCTCCCACATTCTGTCAGGGTCCCTGGACACCCAGACCCAGGTCATGGTGGACGGGCCCCTCTGGTGAGAACGCTGACCTTAAGATGAGGTTTAAACTTGAACCTGGAAATGTGGTATCGTGTGTGGTTACCCAGCACGTCCACCCCCAGATCACATCCCAGGAGGCCCCGGGTGCGTGGACTGGCCGGCCAGACCCTCTCCTCTCCTCCCCAGGTCCGAGGGAGCCGGCGCTGATGCCCAGGACGCTGAGGCTGCTCCTGATGGGCAAAAGCAGCAGCGGGAAGAGCGCCACCGGCGACATCATCCTGGGCCAGCGCGAGTTCGAGTCTCGGCTCAGCGCCCAGCCGGTGGACCCAGGCCTTCCAGAAGGCGCGGCGCAGGTGGGCCAGACTGGAGCTGGAGGTGCTGGACGCGCCCGACCTGCTGTCCAGCGGGGGGCCGGCCAATGTGGCCTGAGGGATACCTGCGAGGCCATCCGGCTGTCGGCCCCGGGCCTGCACGCCGTGCTGCTGGTCACGCAGCTGGGCCGCTTCACCGAGCAGGACCGCACAGCGACCCGGCGCCTGCAGGAGATCTTCGGCCTGGCCATGCTGGTGCGCATGGTGCTGGTGTTCACGGGCAGGGAGGACCTGGGCAGCGGTCCCTGGACGAGTTCCTGCATGACACCCACAGCCGCGACCTGGCCCGGCTGGACGTGCTGTGTTCACGGAGCCGCTGCAGCTTCGACAACCGGGCCAAGGGAGCCGAGCAGGAGGCCCAGCTGCAGGAGCTGCTGCTCCAGGTCCAGGGCGTGCTGTGGGAAATTAAGGGCCACCCCTTCAGCAACGTGGCCTACCAATACTGCCAGGAGCACCCCCCGCCCCAGAACGTGCTCTGGGAGCTGCTGGGCCAGGGTCAGGCTACCGAGGAAGGGCCCCCCGGGGAGCACTAGCAGGAGGGCCTGCACGGGGTCCAGAAGGAAGCTGAGGGGACTCACACAGGATGGCTTCTGCCCAGGGTATCCATTGGAACCTCTGCTGGACTCCACCAGGGCAATCATGTCCTGCCAGCCTCCCTCGCCCCTGGTCATCTTGCAGCAGGTCACTCGCTTACTTCCAGGGTGACTGACCAGCCCAGGCCTCAGGCCACGCTGTCTGGTGTGGTGAGACAGGGGTGTGGGCCCCAGTCCCGGCTCCGTCAGGCCCGTCATCAGGTTGTCCAGGGCACACGGCTCCCTTCCCTGTGCATCTATAGAGAAAGAGCCTTTCCCCTTAGGCCTTCACCTCTTGAGATGCTCGTCTCTACCCTATGGACCTGAAGCTGCCTCGGGCAGCCTGGACCTCATGTTCCTGTGCACCCCAGCGTGGGGTCCCTGCAGTCACTCGTTCATACTGATGGAGGGTAACGAACAGGAAATACCTGCTCTTGTGGGGGCAGGATGTGCACGGGCTTGGAGACACGTGGGAGGAACGGACATGGACTTCATCAGCAACCCACTTCCCACTAAACTGTATTCAGTTTTCATATCCTTGTCATTCCTTGTCAGGATTTTGGATTCTGTTCCTGTCTCTGCTGTTCTGCTCCTGTGAATAAAGCAGTGATGGGGTGACTGCCGTGTGGACTAAGCTGTGGCAAGCTGATTCCCCCTCAGCCTTCCCTCAGGCCTTTCCTCGTTGTGTGAAAGGTAAAATCACTTGTTTCATTTTCAAAAAACAACCTGACTGGTGTTGGCTGTTGGAATTCTCCTACATTAACACATGAATTTTTTGGGAATTGGCAAATACTTCAAGGTTAAGTGAATCAAGGTCACCTTGTGCCTAAACGGACAAACTCAAGGTCAGCGATGGTGAAGTAAAGCTAAATCCTTTGCATTTCCATTAGGATAAGAGAACAGGTGTCCTTCAGGTGTTACTGTTTTAGCTTTATTTGTTAATATCAAAGTAGGTCATACGGGCATTTAACCAGTGACACCCATCCACTCTAGACACAAGCCAATCAAAACATGTCATTTATTAAAAATTTGAAAGGAATTTTCTGTGTTTATACCAAAATGGTGCTTCTGTCCTTACTATAAGAGTCAGAGAAGCTGCTTCCCCCAACATTTCAGGAGGAGAGATCAGTGCTGCTACCACCCCAGCTCTCGAGAATGGGGAAGGCCCTTTCCAGACTTCCAGGAACCCCACAGTCTGGGTGCCAGTCCGAGGGTGGACTGAGGTGCAGTGAGGAGGGAGGGTTGTCTTGGTCAAAGCTGTCAACTGTTCTAGTGAACTTTAAAATGGATGAACTTTAATATCTACTGTTGGTGAACTATAGAATGTATTCTTTTAGAAAAATCATCTCTACTCTGGAGCAAAGCAGGAAAGCCAGGGATTTGGGGTGCTTGAGGAGCGAGTGAGTGCAGGGTTGTTTGCACCTTGCTGGGTCAAAGCAACTGTTAGAAGTCAAAGGATGGTTTCTGACTCCCAGTCCCCCTGGAATGGCATTAGTGAATGATGTAGAAAACACAAAGCAATAATTTCAAAACTACCATTTTGAATGTCGTGGGAAGTACCATTTTGAATATCGTGGCAGATATAGAGGAAGGATGCTTGCGAGTGACGTGTCACTACAGGCCTTCCCAAGGTCATTGTGTTCTGCCAGTAACTGAAGTGCTGCTGGAACAAATTCAACATTCTTCAGGCGATAACAGGATCCAGAGTCTCGACAGTACCCGGCGCACTATTATTTATTCTTCTCTAAGTAAGGATACAAAGCCATGCAGTTTCTCTCTGTGTGTTTCTATTACACAATTTTTGGTCTATCTGTTTTCATGATCATTCCGTTTAAAATACTTTGTTTTCTTTGTGACATCCTTGTTTACTTGTGAATTAGAAGTGTGTATTTAATTTCCAAATACTTGAGTAATTTCGAGGAAATGCAGTTTGTGCTGGGGGAGCCGCCTGCCCAGAGGCTGCTGAGCACGGGATGTCCTGCTCCCGAGACCTGGTCAACTGGCTCAAGCCCCATTCCTGAAGCCCAGAGTCCACAGCCCCTTTTGCTCTTTGGGGGAATTTTCTGAGCTCATTTCCTCAAGCGTCCCCCTGCTGTCTCCGTCATGGCCACTGTGCTCTGGCCTGGTCTGCCCCGCTATGGGCACACTGGAAAGGCAACAGCTGATGCCAGCCTGTGCGGATCCAGCCCCTGGGCCCCAGGCCGTCCCCTCTGACTGGACAGGAGGGGTGGGTGCTTGTTCAGTGCAGGTCAGGGTGTCTCCAGGCCTCCTCGCCACCAGCATGGAGGGTCAACCGCCCGGGTGTGAGGACACTGGGAGCCGGGCATCCATCAGACCACTTCCTGCTATTATTTCCACATTTCAAAACAGGAAACACACTGAAGACAGTGTCCCCTCCCCTGACCTGCGGGGACCAAGCAGGGCCTGTCCTGGTTCCTTGTTTCCCTCCACAGGCGGCCAGAGTCCTCTCCCTGGCGGCCAGCAGCAGCCTCGGGGTCCATCCACAGAGCTCACAGGCCTCAGGCTACGACAATATGCCCCAAACTCAGGGTAAGGAGAAGGCGAAGACTCTGGCCTCTGGCCCCTAACACAGTCTCCACCGCATCTTTTCTGGGAGGCTCCCGACGTGTGGCGCCCACACGTGACGAGATCTTATTTGATGTTTATCTGCAGTTTCCGTCACGACCCTGACGGGAAAGCATCCTTGAGCCCTGGATCAGCTGGAGCCTGAGGGTCAGCAGACCCACCTGGGCCATTACAAAGGCATTTCCACTTTTCTCCTCCCAGCGCAGGGCTTAGCTCTGTGGAGGCCTCTCAGCAGGGGCTGGTTCTGTGGCCAGCAACTCTAGGGATGCGGAATCTCCTGTTCCACGTGTCCACTGCATTGAAACCTTACACTGCAGTTATTCTGTCTTTGGTTCGCAGGGGAATATCCATCCCCTTCCTGGGAAATTGAATGTTCACATCAGAGCTGCAGAGTCAGCAGCTGAGCCCGTGTCCAGAGAACGGGGCCTGAGACTGAAAACCGACCCTCTCCAGCTCCTCCTCGTCTCAGTGACCCTCTCAGTCTCTGTGAAGTGTGTGTGATGTGGAAATCTCTCGGGACTGCTCAGGGCACACAGCACCCGCGCGAGGCCACTGCCAACCCAGATGCGCGGGTCTGTATGGGGGTGTCCCCGGCCGCGCCGCCCCTGAGCGAGACGGGCCCTGCACGAGGCTCCTCTGTGGAAACTGCTGTCTCCACAGTGACGTCCACACTCACACCCGTGCCACCAGCACGACAGACCCGCTACCAGCTCCGCTTTGCCTTAGAGACACCGTCACGTCGTCCAGGTCATCGGACCAAAGATGTGGGTCACACTTGATTCTTCGCTTCCCTTTTCTCTCCACGTTTCCCTGGTCGGCTGGTTCTTTTGGCTAAAGCTGCAAATTTCACTTTCTCCATCTTGAAGACCCTCATTCTAATCCAGGCTCCCCCCACAACCCCCCCACCCCACGTCTCAGCAGTCTCCTGACTGGCCTCTCTGCTTCCACCTGTCCCTTCAGTCCACTCAGAAGCCTGGAGAAATATTTTAAAAATATCCATCATGGGGAAAAATTGTAGTGGATCTTTCTCTGGCTGCAAAATTCTGTAGTTAATCCCCTTCTTCTACACTTTGTGGTGAAATTTTTGCTAATCGAGGGAAACAAACCGCCCTTGGTGGTATTTCCCAATTTGTTAGATTTTTTTTTAATTTATTTATGCATACAAGAGCTGGGGTACAGGCCAGAGGTGTGGGGGGTGAGAGGAATCACCAGAGACAGAGTGGGGAGCAGAACAGGTGGATCCACTGAAATCCACTGCTGAGGGGAGCAGCGGGGAGGCAGGAGAGGTCTGCTGTGCCATGTGGGTAGCTCCCTGGCCGGGGATTGAACTCTTGCTCAGGGGCTACAGATAGCTTCATAGTGCCCAGACCTAAGCCCTTGTGCCAGCAGGGAGGCTCCTTTTTCCCAGTTAGACACCCAGAGTCCTGGGGTGAGGAGTCAATTTCCCAGAGAGGAGGACACGACCCCAGCCGGCTACGAGGGTCTGGGGAGGCTGGGGTGTGGGCTCAGACCCCACGAGTGTCCTCACAGGCCGTCTGCAGGGGACCCTGCGGGGCGAGGCCGCCCTGGAGAGGGAGCGAGTCGGGGGGAGACCCGGCCCCGGCTCAGCGCCATCGAGGCTCCTGGCCCAGGGGGCAGCGCGGGGTGCGCCTGGGGCCGCGGGTCATGCGCAGCCCTCGTCACCCCGGCTCTGTGCAGCGGCCCTGCGGCGGGGCCTGAGCCCCAAGGGAGCTGAGCTGCTCCAGGCGACCCCGGTGGGCGCAAACCCGTGACGGGGCGTCTCCGGGGCCCCCATGACCGTTACGCGGCATCCCGGGGGCTCCCCCGTGACCGTGACGCGGCGTCCTCGGGGCCCCCAGCGCGGCCTTCCCGGGGGCCCCCGGAACCCGCCCCCGCCCGCCTGGCCGCCCCGGCCCAGCCCCAGCCGCGCCCCCGGCTCCCCGGGTCCTGGCCCCAGAGCCCCGACCCCGCACCCCCGCAGCCAGCCCACGGGGTACCCCTGGCACCGCCCCGAGCCCCGCTGCCCGCAAACTGGCCGCCGGCGCCCGAGGGGAGCGCAGCGGAGGGGGGCGGCCCCGGGGGAGACTCGGGACTCCTCACCCCGGGGGTGGACTCGGGTCACGCACCCCCCGCGGCGGGGGCTCTGGGGACGCAGCAGGGCACAGACGGGGTCTCCCTCAGTCCTGGGAAGAAGGACGCGTGTCCTCTAGGGGCAGGGATGGAGCTCGGCCTTACAGGGAGGGCATCGGGGCTGTCGGGGGCCGGGGCGGGAGGGGCGCAGGTGGAGCCTCAGGTGGGACCCGGGTCAAGGTGGGGTCACGGGCGGCCCCGCGGGCGCCGACACCGGGTGGGCCCGGAACGGCGACGGGCCTCAG